GTCTATTTTTATTTACGTGGTAGTGACGCCTTATTGATTTCTGCCTGTTTCATTGATCATACATTTACTACGCATTTATCATTTCTTTTATTTACGATATACTACAGACGTCTGTGTGCCGCCTTGGTAGGCAATGCATGTTGGCTAGCGTATTTCGTTATCATTACTTAATTTTCACCTCCGCGAAATGTCACACGCGATGCCAGCTGCAGCCGCTACACTATATAAGTATATTAAACGACGTGTACATATGTACATACGTTGTGGTTTTGTCGCTGTTATCGTTCGCAAAGGCCTCTTTTTTGATGACGTTTTCTGGCGCTCGCCGAGTCAGCGACTCAGCTACCTGTGAAACTCGTAGCAATCACCATGGTAATCTTAAGGCAAAAAAATCGAGAACAACGGTTGTCTCCCACAACCGTCCGATCACACCCGATTCCGCCACATCGATCCATCTAACTTGACCCTGTCACGTATCGTGGACATGTTACTTTGCTGGCTACAGTGTTGTTGCTATTCCGCGTAGACATTACACAGGATAAATGATGTCACTGATCCGTAGCGACTCGGGAGGTGCGGCCCAGCTTAGTGAAAGACACGCAATGGGCCCGCGAACGGTCATTAAATGTTTGGTAATTCGATTTCTGTATGGAAACTATCTAGCTTACGCAGTAACGCAATGCTGAGAAAAAAGCAGGTAGAACACAACAGCGATACGAAGCAACTATCGATAGGCACGCGCCGAGATAGTGGTACATACGCCGTCACTGAGGGTGTATGTACACTATACATTGATATGAGCAGGCGTGCAGAGATAGTATCCCCGCAAACGATGGATCGCGTGCATTTCAGAGAAACGGGTCGACTATCATGTAGCGCATGATGTTTATTTAGGGTTTCAACGGCGAAGGACGCTGTACCTTAGTTAACCGTCGCTTGAGCGGAGCGAGCTCTACTTTGACCGGTGAGAATCATTTTGTGATTATGAAGTTCATTACAATAGCCCGCTTTTTCCGTTGCACACTGGAGATTTTCCCGTTTACAGTAGCGATATATTTCGAAAACAAATCAGACACAATCATTTGTTTATGTGCTTCAAGGTTTTTTTCAAAGAACTGCTTTGTTGAAGTTCTTCTATGCCAAAAGAATACAATACCAATTAGAAACTCGAGAAAATTTAAGCGAACTTTCTTTTCAATACCTTTACTGATCATCAATCATAGCCGCGTTACCTATTCATTCGACTTTACGCTCTGCAAGTTACTCGTACTGCAAGCGGAATTGTTGTTGTTTTAGGATCGCCAACGAATTGGCCGCAACTATTTCTCGGCATAGGTCCACGGACGTGTCGCCGCCTTCGTTCGGCCTTTGTCGCAATATTTGTCGCCGATGCCGTTACCGTCACATCTCACTTGATTAAGTATCCAACGAATGATTTGTCGGTGAGCCATCCTGAGAAGCAGGCGTTTTACGGACGGCTGATGTGAACGTGGGTGATGATGCGGAGAGGGCGAAATTTGACATTTAGGAAAACCTTGGCGTCTTTTCGTTGACTAGCGTTCCAACCGCCGCCGCCGGTTTTTCTGCTTGTTCGACCCTAACCCCAGTGACCAGCGTAGGCGATTGCTCTTTTTTGTTTCTAAATTATCAAACTCCGCCGAACCGTTTCCATTATCTGAACTCATCGATGTCCACTGCTTCTTCATGACGACAACAGCAGTGACACCAGCGACGATAACACGAACGATCGCACGCTGTCCTCACATATCTAAACGAGACGGCGCAGTCTAAAAATCAAGATCCATTAGGCATGACCGTTGCTAAGCTAAATGTGTGCGACGACATCGATGATATACAGGAATATCGCCAAAACTCGAGGAACTCCCCAGTGTGTCGGCGGGGATAGACTACCCGACTGGCGCAGATGATTTTTTGATGCGATCGTACTCTTTTTTTTTTCATTTTGCCTCAATTTTTGTATCGCGGTACCTTGGAACCTACGCGTTCAGCTTGTCATAGTACTGCGATAGGCCCATCGAAGAACTGGGCCGCAAATTTCGTTAATGTTGTAGACAGAACGTGTCTTCGGTAGCACAACTGAGCAGAGCTTAATGTTTAAATCCTTCACGCACACAAATACACATACAACCGGATATGCCATACGTGTGGAGACACACGAAGTCTGATTGGAAACACCGAGTAAGAGGCCGTCTTATTACTGCTTATTAACGCTGAACGAGCGCGTTTGGTGGACAGTCGAAGTGGCAACAAAGCAAAAATCGATTACGTACAATTTAATCAGACAGAAATGGAACAAGGGTAGAGCAAGCGCGAATCAACAGCCGCGAACAAATGGTAGTGACAGATAGAAACAACAGGCAGCCTTACTAAAACCGATGTAAGCAAGCAAATTATACAAGTCCAAAAGGTAACTACGAGGCAAGAGGAAACGACTGTCAAATCGCGGTCCGCATTTTTGTTTTTGTATGTGATTAATTGTTTCTTGTTTTAATTTTTCGCAACGCATTTCTGTACTTTGTGTTATTCTAACGGAATCTTTTTTCATATTTGAAATACTGCAGGCGATACTAATGGTATTACAAACCGGGCCGCATTGCAGCCGGCTGTAACAAGGTAGCATTAACAGGACGCGATTTCTTTCGTCATGATCCGCCAGTGTCTCTTCCGTTTTCGTATCAAAATAGAAGTACTATACAGAAGGCCACCGTTTGTGACGCGTTTGGCGGCCGTTGCGGGAACCGGACAACCGAACTGAAGTCAGGGATCAGTCGAAATCGGAGTTAGTGGAGATGATAGGTATAGACTCAATAGAGCAGTAACGGCGCCCCTTTGTCGTCTTGGCTTTTCTGATCCACACTCAGTTGCCGACAAACGAACACTTCCTAATCAATGGCCACTGGCAAATATCCGAGTTCTAACAAGCAGCGCGTTTTTTGGTTGCTAAGGTAACCAGGATCCTGCGAACGCAATGGGTCTGACAATAAATCGATAACAAACCAATGGAACGCATATATTACTTTGAGTTTCTTGCGTAAGTTCGTATACGATAGGCGAGCTCACTAAGCACATTGATACAATATACAAAACTCTTCTGGCGATTGCATTAGAATTCGCGTGTGACAGAACGTGCGCGCTTAGCCCGCACCCGCAAGTCTACAGGTAGTTAGGCTTCGGTGATTCTCTTATTTAGCGGCTGTGGCGCTGTGAAGATCCTTTTTGCCTTCCGTGTCGGCCTTGTCATCCTTTGAAGATCCCAGCCTTTGTCAACGTGGCGTCTATAGAGAACGCAACAACACCCACGAAGCGGAATTTCGTCGTTGCTTAGCCAACCCGCTGTTTCAGAGAGCATTGATATCGACTACCAATGACCAATTGATTACTGTGACGCCGCTGATATGGCATTTTGTTTCGATAACTAGTTGTGCCCGGTCAAATCGTAACCCAGGCAAGTTCGCCGATTACGGCAACGTCTCGTATTCGCACAGATGCTACAGAACACGAACGTACAAACAAGCACGTTACTTAGCAGTACGATCAACAAGCGCCAGCCGCCAACGGCCAGCGCGTCAAAGGCTAAAAACGCAACGCATTTGATCGTCTGTCTCTTCTTCGACTCCGTCGAAACCATGCCGCGATACAATTTATTAACTGTCGGGATATGTCGTTGGTGAAGATAACACTGCCAACGGCTTAGAGTCATTCCCTGAATGTCGCTATAGTCGTTCGTGATCGAATCGCGCCGGGAGAGACAGCAGCATAAACGGCACCACGCAACAACAAATGAGCCTGGCAGAAGAGGCATCTATCGCCTTCAATAGCGACGTCGGCGGCAGCAGTGACACTAGCGTCGCCACGAATGGAACGCTGGCCACCCCAGTCGCGTTAGACGTCGACTTAGAGCTTTTAATTCAACATCTCTCGCTTGAGGTTTTCCTCTATACAGAGTCAGAATCACTCGGATCCACAGTGTCACGGTTGGCGTCGCTTGGAAACAAGTGCGAAAATCTACTTGACCAGCAAAGACCAGCTCGATTCACTAGCCTACTCGACCACGGCGGCGTGGTCCGGTAGCGAGACAGGTCCACGGACCGTTCACTACGCATGACGTCGCCATCCGTTCACTGTATATTTATACGATAGTGGCATCGAACATACGGTATGTAGCTGGATAATTAATCATATAGGTCACTAGTCACAATGTCTATGCTGAAATACAAGGGGACGAGACTTCGCAAGCTATTAAATGCGGTCCAAGAGTTCGAATGGCTTCGCATTTAACAAGACAATAGATTTGAATGAATTTATGCTATATGCACAGTGCCTAGCTGCCTACTACAGGCGTACCGTTGTTAAGCCGTAGGCAATTAGATCGGCCGTTTTCGGCCAAAACGGCAGGCAACGACCGTTAGTAATGAATATCTCCATATACCCGACGAGACCGATATAGCAATTTACCCACTAATGTCTACGCCGTTAGATGCTATAGGACAATGAATGCGCAATTAGCTACTGTAAAATTTATCGAGTTTCGACTATTTCTCATCTGGGTTCATTGAGACAACAGGTGCTAGCGCCGATGAAGAAGGGGCTTATGTAAAAAAGTTCCTAGAAAATTGCCAAAAATTTGCCGCTAATATAACCACATCTTCATAACTAGACCGTGTGTGTCGTTGTGACACGCTCCGAGCCAGACGGTCGGTGTGTCCAAATACATGATAAGACCATATGTGTGTGTTTGTTTAGCATGTGAGAAAATGATATTTATTGAACAAGACGCGTTTTTGTGCCATTAACAATGCGCTATCAACAAACACGAATAGGTAGAAGCTGTTTTCTACTTAAAAAAACATCACTTAACTTTTAAGCGACATAACGTGGTGCTGGATCAACTCGTTGCAGTGGCTATTTTGACAAGATAAATATACTTGTATTGTAAATAGTCTGTTTGTCAAAATGGTGTTTTTTTCCTTGCAGCTTACCTTAAACAATGTGTCCTTCTGATACCAGACGTCCTCTTCTTCGATATTCTCTAGTTCGTCCCTCGACCGGGAAAGTATTCTCCGCCGGCTGATCATTTTATATTTATTATCTATTTACTAATAAATACGATCTATTTACCTGGAATTAAAGAATATAAGCAATATATCGCACATTAGATAGTATCAGATGCCGTACTCTATCTATGTAAAACACATATCCTTTAATAGTTCGTCATGCAATGTATTTTAAAATGTTCTGTTCCAGTGTGTAATGTATCCCGTTGTTCTTGCTATAATGTCATTGCTCTATGGCCTAAGTTCCTCCCCTGTTCTAAGTCATTTGTAGACCTTTGGCGACTTTGCTGAACTACTGTAGTAAAAACAATCCAAAGCATATTTTTTTTCTGGTTACAATATACGTTTCTATATCTGTTGATCCTCCCAAGAGCTGCAGTGCAATTTCAAAAAGAGGATAAGAACCGACACAGGACCTTGACAACCTGTGCGTTCAAAAACCTTTTTATGCCTAAATGCGCCACAGATAGATTTGCCGTGAAACAACAATCGATACGCGCGTAAAGTTGATAGTGTTAATTAAATTATAGATTTTACATAAGTTGAAATCAGCCATGGTATTATTGGACAATCTACAGCAGTGGCAGCAGCTTTGCCTTTGTCGTCCAAATGACTTCAGATACATTTCGTAACACGATGCTGAAACACAAAGCCTGTCTGATGCGAACGCTTTGCGGCTCCCCGTACAATACGCCGGGCCCGGAACAATATGGCATTGTGTTCGAATATGCAGATACCGCTTAACTTAGTATTCTCAACGTAAAAGCGTCCCTTATTTGTATTGCTGTTATCTGCTGCCGAGAACTTTTGTATTTCTCATCCTGCCGGTCCTATTGCTATCGGCCGCGAAGCGCCTTAACAAAGGGGTGGGTTGAACCGAAGACCACTATGAAGGCGATTGTAAATGGCAAGTTTAAGCGCAGAAATTGTACGGTTAGGCACTGACTAGCAGTAAAATCCGAAATTCGAAAAAAAAAAAAGAACGAAGAACTATGCAGTGGCACCCCATCCCCCACCCCCAAAAAACGTCCGGAAAATAGGCGACATAATAAAAACATCACGAACGACGCCAAAGAGTGGACAGAGTGGCGTTGCAGACAGGACACTATGTTTTCGCACAGGCGTCACATCCTGCTGATAGAGTGGCACTGTGATCGTTTTTACGACAAGCAGGAGCTTGTGGTCCTGGATGAGTTCACTAGATCCATGATGTGTCATGTTACATCCTGCATCGATTTGGTCATGTCTCTGGTTTACAGTTAAGCTTGACGGCTGACTGACCACCGACGGCGCCGTCACCGCAGCCGCGGATGCTGTGTTAGGACGATCCAACTATTGGACTATTGGGTATTACTAATATTGGATGCATGGCATTCGTCTGTATTTCTAATTGGCTTACACCCATCGTATTGACATGCGCTCGCTCAGGGTCTTTTACAGATCAGGTCCAAGGGCGAATGTAAAGACGAGCGGCGTTACTGTGCCGGGTGCGTCGTTGAAACCAAAAAGCTACAAACGAGAATTGGGGTAGCAACGGTAGGCGAAATCGAAGCAGCAACGCTAAGATGCTGCTGCGAATCTTGCCTGGCCAGTTCAGGTCACTGAGGATTTGGGACATATTTCGTCTTTTTTTGAGGCTTTTATGAGAACCCTTATGAGGCTAAGCCTGAAGGCTTTGTCACCTGCTACTTCTCTCGTATCAATATATATATATATATATATATGTATAACTACAATATCAATTCTTTGTGGCGCTCACGAAGTGGAAGACGCTAGATGAACAGCTGATTTCAGAGAGAATGAGAATTCTCAGCTGAGAGGAAATATGATTGTTCAACGGGAAGATCTGCCTTCATTTTTTAGACTTTTTTAAACTTGCACGGAGAACGGAATAGGCCAACTCAAGAAACCTGTCCAGAAAGTACACTGGTGAAAAGAAGATGGGAGGATCTGATGGCTGTACGTTTGTGTTCTTGCCTAATGATGCTTGTTGCAGTTGTCGCTAGAAGCCGCTGGTAGGACATATGGTAGCCAGCACAGCCAAGTGCAAACATAAGAATAAGGGGCAAAGAGTGTAAACACGGCGAGATAATCAGCAAAGTAGAGATTATAAGAAACCCTATATCATAATGAATATGACTGCATGAGATTGTGTATTGTCTTCGGATTTATCGACCTTATATCTACATACTTCATTCAATCAATTCTATGGCATATACATCTCGCTCGCCATATTTTCAATGGCTTCGCCATGGCGTTTCAGTCAGTTGATACACAGACGTTGTAGAGATATCCAAGATGTCCCGATACCTGTTTCGCTGGTACCTAGATCTGTTGGGGCTGTACGACTTTTGTGCGTCACTAAAGAATAACTGTTTTGCTTGTCTTGGGCCAACATTAATGCTTTTCTGTGATGCCGACAGTATCACAAATACATGTACTACTTCGAATGATTTACGAAGTCTAGCCGATATACAGGTGAATAGTTCGAGGCTTGACCTTCCCATGCCCCGATGAAGTGTTCAAGTCAAGTAGCGTGTAACTAATCCTACCGTTAGGTAGCAAATGAATCAAAACATGTTCTTACGTATCAAAATTAAGGTAATTATATTTTTAATTAATATATACAAGGTAATCGAAACGGCCAGACATAAACTTACTGCTAAATGTAAGTTTTAAGCAACGATCCCATAGCGAGTTACTTAGACAATTACAACTATTATCAGAATGGCTATTGTCATAACTAGTGATAAACAGTCATTTCTATTACGACCACTATATTCGCTTTGTGGCTTTAGCTGTTCTAACTGTACCTTATTGTCACTTTTGTTGTTGGACGATTTTGTCCAATGAAATATGTCCCCTCGGACAGCTGCTTCCCCCTCTACCATTAACATTCCCGTTGTCATAGTTGCCAGCCTGTTGTTAGCGGCCGTTTCCTCTTCAGTCGAACGGTGACCAAGATTTTCCGGTTGTCCAATGGGCTTTCAGCCGTTGTGAGCTGTTAGCCTATCGTTTTCTCTCATGCTTTTACCTGTTCATCAGTCTATCGTAAATATCTATCATTTATAAGATATATGTTGGCGGCTTGCCTACTTCTGCTTCAGATGCCACTACCAATGGCTCAGTCATTCGTAGACGCTTTGGTCTGCCGCTGATCGTCGTAGCGCTAGCTCTCCGCTGCAGAGTTGCCTCAGCGTCAAGGATCGTCCGTGCATAGGCAAACGCGTACGTCCTTAACACGCGGAAACATCGGACCGAGGCGAGGATCAGTTAAAGACATTCGGTGAGGACTTGGAAAAAATAGAAGAAGAAGGAAACATCGTCGCAGACCGCCGTTGCGGGTGTATCATTGCCATTACGGCGAAGACGCGATGGCGGCAGCGTCTTCGTTATCGTTTGCCTCGTTTCGCGAAGGAGTCAGTGTATGAACGCGAAAGATCTGTCCGTACACCCACAAAAGCGTCGAACGGCCGGAGATCGTTAGTAGCAACCGTTAGTCAGTCCCCCGTTATAGTCGGTGGGCTGCGCCAGCGTAACTGTTGCTGTTGATGCGACGCCTGTACCGGCTTCCGTTGCAATTTCTGCCATTAGTTGAACGCGCCTAGCGTTAACAGCAGTATACGCAGCTGCTCAGTGAACAGGGCCAAATGGCTGAATGAATGTTGAGCGGCAGTGGTGAGGGCAATATAAAGGGGGCAATGAAGAAGATGCCACCTCTTTCACCCAATAGTATAGCAAATCAATTTGCGGCGCCGTTCATGATATTGTTAGTATTGGTGCTTCTGCTGTTATAGCGAACAGTTACTCCATCAAAGAGATTAACACAGGAAATATTTGCCCCCGGCTTCGTATAGTATAAAAAAATACACGCCTCAATCATTTTGGTTTAACGATGACCTGTCGGCAACGAGGACAATAAACGTTCTCTATTCATATGTCAGTTTGCTTCTGGGTTACAAGCTTGCAAATAAAGGTGTTATACTACGAACGTTATATCGCAGCAAACCTACTTACACAGATCGGATTCAGATTTATGAAATGGAAATAGCATTCTGCCTAAAAATGTGATTATTAAAATTTATGCCGTTATTAATCATCGTCACTCTCATTTAGTCAATGCCAACGTCGTTCTCATGACCACAGATTATTTTTTGAATTGAACTTAAGAATTTTCATTTTTTCGTGACTACACGTTAACTCGTAGTGGCAAGACCTCGGTGGACTCCAATAAGCAGACCCGTACGAGAATCCGCTAAGTGGGTCGAGATATGTACAGCTGAAAATACCACCCAGAAGGTGAAGGGTGAGGTGTGCAAAAATTGAACACGGTTTAGCAAGGAGACAGGATCATTCCGACCACGTACACTTTCTCAGCCGTGTCAGAGAGTGGCAAAGCTCACTGCTCAAAGTCACTGCGTTTATAAAAACCGTTCGACGCCGTATTGACTTGAAGACTGTGAAGGGGTTTGTTTTTCACATGAATAGCATTTTGAGATCTTAGGTAGTGATGCTCAACGTTTTTACGGACGCTCCGGCGAAGGATTGCACAACTCCTGTGACATCTAATAGGATACATCCGACAAAATTTTGGTGTAGGCCGTGATTTACATCCAGGAGCTGAACATTTCGTCAGCGGGATTATGGAAAAACGACAATACAGTGAAGTAATTTTTGAGAAAATCATGTCTCAGTTGCGAGAATAATGTCCACATGGCAACTATGTATTCAGGGATGAAAAGTTACAAGGTCATATGGTAAAATACGTCTCTGAGGCGTTTAGCGTTAATGGTGATGAGGTCCTGCCATGGCTTTGAAATTCACCCGACTTGAATCCGATCAAAAATGTGTAGCGGTATGCCACAGGATGAGTAATAGTCGGCTAGAAGACTGCGAACGTCTTACAACCATAGAATACAATGTTTCGTGTCTCGGCCCAGGATCCGGATATAACAGAGACAGTGCGAAAGTGTGTTCGGAACGTGTCAAATCGAGTTGCGGCAGTGATCGCAGCTTGTAATAGTGGACCAGGTATTAGCCTCAATAAGTACCTGTTCTTCCAGAGATGTTTGAAAATGTTTCTCTAGCGACAGTTTCGCTACCCCGACCAGCATCCATAGAAAGAAACGAGAAAGACCGCTTTCACGTAACAAAAAAAAAAATCCACATACAGGTATCTAGCTTGGCTGCGGAGTCTTGTTATTCGATATTTTTCGAGCACAAAAAGATCACAGCGGTTGACCATCAGACCTCCTTTGTCAACAGAAGTGACATTCTATGGTGGTCGATTACGTTAGCCGACGCCATTAGTGATGACGATGATTGGCCATCCTTGGCCTTCCTGAGTCTGCACGACGGTATGAATGGTCGCGTGATAGTAGCTACTGTATTTAGAATGCTTGCCTTAAGAGGGCACGCATCGAAATAGTAGCAGACGATTAATTTCTTAACTGATGATGCATCTCGATATATATACACATATGGAGGTAGATGAACACGCTTAGCTATAATGATCTAGACAACAAAAATAGATAAGTAATGATACCATTGTACCTAGACATAATTACGAAACTGAGGTAATACCTATATAGCGTGTAAATAAAAAGTGACCTATGGCAAAGTCCACAGATTAGGGTTGAGCTAGCGGATCAAGGTTGTCTCAACGCTATCTAACAACATTTTTTATTGTCTGAGTGGTAACGAACACGTTACATAAGTTCTATCACACCTCAAAGTAGTGTTATCATAATGGTTAGTGATGATAATGATCGTGAAATTATAATTATAGAAAACAGTGCGGCACGGTACTGATTCTTACGTAAGTTAAATATCGGAAAAGAAAACCTTGAGCTTTTGCCTTCGAGATTTCACGCTCAGTATCGTGACGTTGGATGATCGTGCACTGGCATGCCGAAAAAATACAGGAGCCCTAAGGAACAGAAAGTGTAGGTCGCACTAGCAACCTCACAAATATAAGATGTTGGCCACCTAAAATTAGGAGTAACCTCTATATGAACAGCGAGTTCAGAAAGAAAGATTTTCATCGATCAAACGTTTAGTACATTTAGGTGGCGGACGATTGTTTCCTACTGCGTCACCCGTGACCAGTCGCAGAGCACGAGGGCACCGTGACAATAGATAATCAGTACCGCCGCAAGATAAGTGCACTGATATATCTAAGATATGTAAGCGCTCATCGCTATCTTTTCAAATCTAAACTTAATAGGATTGTAAATGATAGGCCTCAGCTTGACGGATTGATGTACCTAGTGGTAGCTATGAGAGCTACGTACCCTTGAGAATTAATGTAGAAATATTAATAAAATGTAAACTATTTTGTTTTAATTGATTTCTCAAATGCGCGAAAAACAGTAAATCAATTAATTTTTCTCGTCAATGGTTTCGCTTAGCGATCGTTCCGGTGCCGCTTCTTCGTTCGACTCCGCTAGACAGTTTCTAATAAGGATAATTGCAGTTCATATTGTCCCTTGTAGGAATTATGCAAAAACAGAACTAAAAATTGTTCAAACAAGCCTCATCACACGAACGTTGTCGATGTCTGCTCCACGAAACGACAGCCACCGTTATATCTGGGGTGGAGGCTTTCGCGTCCGCGGCGTTGCTTCGTTGCGCCCCCATTGGCCCAGATTATGGTTATGACATTGCTGCCATTCGTCGTATCATCGCCTGTTCTTCATAACCTTCTTGGTTATCACTGTTATCCTCGTTGAAATAGCTACGTCGGTGTTAGCGTTCGTAGCACCAACTGCCATAGCTGACTTTCGGATGACTACTTTTTTGGTAGGCGCAACACCCACCTACCCCAAACTGACCTTCTTCCGTCTCACGCTCAACCAGTTATTCACGATCTGTTGGCCTGCGATTGAATATATACAAACGTCACAATTCCGTTCTAAATTTTACCGCCAAAACGTCGTTCGAAAGTCGCCGCTCCTCGCTTTGATCAACTGTCATCGTAGGCGTCATCGCCGCCAACAAGTCTCTGTACAACACCTACTTGTGATTGGGCAATAGAATACATGACATGTACACACATACGTACGCGCACGTGCAGAGTCAAATTGTGCAGGGACGTACACAAGTTTCGAGTGACACTTACGCCGATGTCTGTTACCACTCGCTGGCATTCGTTAAGCGCGGTACAAACTATATGCTTGTTACCCGCTACTAGCTCTGTTTGCCTATGGATCCCTCCGCTGTAATTCAACTCTTCCACCGCAAACCCTATCTATGTCTATATCACAAGATATATACATATCTATAATACACGATTTTATGGTGGCCTTAAATTTCTCGTCAGAGCAAGGGGTGGTGTGGGGCAAAACTACTTCGACGAGGTCGTGTCTTGTCGACTGTTCGCACCGCCGAAACACCGCTGCCACAACATTTTCTCGTGAGGGAGTTGCGTCATGTCAGTCACTTCACGTCACAACAGAAGTAGCAGCGTCAGCAGCAGCTTAAACGGCGCAACTCGTTCGGACCCATGGCTGTTGATAATAGATGTGGGTTCGAAAAAAGAAAAAAAAAAGATGGAGAACCTGATAAAAAAATAGCTGAAATCATTTACATCAGTCAGTCAATCCAGGCTAGCCAATCAAGCGTTAAACAAACCTTTGCTAACATTGCAACACTATAGGAATCGTAAGCTGCAACAGCGGCTCAAACCGGCTACCATTCCAACAAGCTGTCCATGATTCTAACAGCTAAGGCAGATATATGCAAGGCCAGAATCATACTGGGGAAAGCTCCTTTTGGCCGAAAAATGCCTATTAGACAACTGCCGTCGTGTAGGCTAGTCTTGGAGCAGGGCAGTTTTTATACGGTTACCATGAGAATGATAAGACAATGAGATATCGTCCAGTAGACGCTCCGCCATAAAACTACAAGATGCACAATGCGACAATACTAAACAATAACCGCACCTGATCAAGGACAAACCATTTTATAGATATGACAATATCTTACGTAGTTGAATTCTGCAGCATAGATATATATATATATACATATTAAAAATAAAAGCTTGTTGTTAGAAGCGCTTCTTAATTTTTATTACATGCTCCACACAGACACAATGTTTTTTTATATATTATCTAACGTGATGCAAAATAGCAACGGCGTTTAGGTGTGACAGTAAAAACGATAGAACCAAACGTTGGTAGGGGTAAATATATGCATCAGATCGCATTGTACTGTTCAGCTCCGAGGACTGATCTAAAAAATAAAAATTACATGACAAGCCATTTCGGGTAACGTGTAACACAATGACAATCCGACGGGATACGTACGATTTGCGAATGTATATACGCATAATGTGAATGAATCAGCATATATAAATAATGTGTTGAAACTACATTGTTTACTAGCTGAAGGGGTTTAGCGCCTGACCGACCAATAGCTGCTACTAGACTCCTGTTCCAGTTCTGTAATGTATACTTGCTCGCCGTATATCAAATCAAATCTGATAAAAATCAGCAAAAATCTCATGGATGTACACACTGCTGGTATAATATGTACCTCCATGCGACAATAAAAAAACTGGCCTTATCGTACTGTTTACCAACCGATTTGGTGTCATCTTGTAAGTGATTAGGTACAGCCGATGCACACAATGTATTACAGATAAAAGTATCTGTAATAAATACGTAGATGAATACGTACTGTGCAATCGTTGGCAATCAAGTTCGTCTTTGACTCTTGCCATTCTTGTCCGATACGAATGCCGCTAGTAATATTGGCGTCTAACGAGATAAGGCTGACCCTGGCTTATTTTTTGCGTCGAAAAGTAAAATTGAATCTACCAGGTCATTGATAAACATCTATTTTATTTATTTACATATACGACGGTCTAAGTATTTGTGTATATAATAAACTTCAGCTTATCACATTATTCTACTTTGAAGGACCTCTCGGTACGCATACGACTTAGGCAATGATAAAAAAAAATAATAATAATAAATACTCCAGAATAGTTTCTCCGGATTTTTTTGTGCAAATTGTATTCATATCTTTGCATAATTCCCATACAAGGTAGCTCATCTATACCGGTAATAGAAAGCGCGCTTGTATTCAAACCTTCCTGTTTCCAGTGTTCTTAGTTTATCATTTCGAGCACTGCCAGTTTACAAAACCTAATTGCTTCGTTCGCCTTTCGCGTATCGGTCCCCTCCCGATCATCGTAGACGAGCAAATCTGCTGGGTTTTTCAATTCATTTGCAGTTCCATCGTCGGCTGTGTTGCTGGTCATTGATTAGCTAGATCGGGCAGAAGTCGTAAGCCCGACCGGTAACGGTTACCAGCCACTTAACACTTTGGGCCTCACTCATATCATAGAAACATTACGGAACATTATAGCTAGTTGTATCATACTGCCTCCTGCAAACGATAGGCGGCTGCTGCGGCGATACCAATGGTGAAGAAAAAAGCGGGAAAAAAGTTCTGCAACTGCTTATAGCGACGAATCGTTTAAGTTGGGAGGCGGCATTTGGTTTGGTTGGCCGCTTACGGTGCTAAGTACGTAACTAGGATCACTGAAAGTTAAAAGACTTCAACCTTTGGCGAATAATGACCTTAAAGTTCCTTCATAATAGAAACTAGTGAATGTGGTCAAATGAGTGCCGACAGGCGTTTAGGAGTCCGTTCTGAGAAGCGAAAAAAGCAAACCATTCCCTCTTATCACCTAGCCGTGTTCCGTTAACACTTCCTCCTATTGAACTAGGAGTATATATCAGATATAACAGATGGCATACTGGCGGAATACAAAGCAAAGCAATCTGTCGACATTTTGAGATTCTTCATTTTATGTATGTAAAGTGAAAACCTGTGTATTACATTTTAACCTCATCATTACGTCTGACCATAATGATAACGCCTTCTGAAGCCATCCTGGTAGTTTAATGGACATCTTTGTATGACTTTAGATTTCATTGCAGTAGTATGGATGATTTGAACGGAGATGTTCATACGGTGGTAAGTTTAGAAAGAAGTCAGACTATTCAGTGCTCGGGGTCATGCACAGCAGCAGCAGCAGCTCGCAGAGTCAAATCGGTAACGGAATCAATGACTTTAGGCTAGACTAAATATTTGAAGCTTTTGGCTTACTAGGGTAATGGTAGGAAAAATATAAAGGTGAAATTTTTCAACGTCTCTTTCGATGAAAAACTTGGAGATCGTCTAATGTTCACCAAAGTCCATAAACTATAATGGTTACTTGGGCGGAATCTGGGCATGCCTACGCCACCGATGACCGTACAAACTAGAAACAAATACAACCTGTAATTAGGGACAACAGCAAAGCACCGTCTGGAGCAATCAGTCGTCCTGGCTTGGTTCCAAGGTACGAGTTAAAAGGTTAAATGTTCCCGATATGCCTGCAAAAGTGGCCACTTCTTAACAGTCTGTAATATTCTACCGATTCAACTTTTTCCACTTCAAGGTTTTTGAGGAAAAATTCAGGAAGAGAGAAGAAAACGCATTGAATATCGTGTCACAAACCTAAAGAAACTCGAAAAATTCCTCGATGTTATGCGGTAACGAACATGTTATCATGAAGAGAATTATTGCTTCATAAATAGGCTCAAATTGACATATGATGAATTTGTAACTTGAAGAAATGACATGAGCTCTGTGATCTATACTGTAACCCTGAGCCGTAAAGTATGTTAATCAAATTCAAAAGCAATACATATTTATAGTAGTGGGTGACATTTATGATAATGACTTTATATTAAATCGAGTTTACCCCCCCCCCCCCGCCCCACGGGAGGTTTTTTGGAAAGGTGGAACAAAGTGAGTTCGTGTCGATCGTGTACACCGTGGGCATTATTATTGCTTGTATAGATCATGGGCACGTTCTGCCGGACCAGCCAACACTGGCGTCATCGTTAACAACAGCAGCTGTCGCCCAAGCGGTTCAGCAACCTCTATTGTCTATCGTAATTGCTAAGCTCATCTTTTTGCCACTTCCTCTGACCTTTTTGCGTTGAGTTTGCTTAGCAAATGTCGATGTCAAGAATGGCGGGACGAAAACCAGCGACAGCTTTTATGACCCCAGGCTCGACCGAGGCTTCCCGCCTCGTCGCCTAATTTAATATAAATTGTAACGTCTATAGAGCATGTTTATATGCACTGACTGCCAGTGTCTCAGTCCGCCTCGGTGTATAAAGCCGCTCGCTCTGTGCGTTCGCGATGATTCAGCTAGTTTTCGACTGACGACGGCTATAGTTGACAATATAAACTTTACCTGGATTTCTTTTGTCACCGGTGACGACGTTGTGATTCATTCGTCGCTGCAATTGTCAGCGTAGCTATAATAGCCACTGACGGCTAAAGTGTTTGGCGCTGCCGCTGTTGCCCCGGCTTGCATGTCACCTATCGTGAAGTGACAGTTAACCTCATACTCGTCCGTAGTAAGGCAAGTAGGACGAGATGACAAAGAAATAGGAGTAAAAGGAACGCGACGAACAATTTGATGACCTTATTCTTGCTCGAGTTTGGCCAGCAGAAATGGATCGTACATTTTAACGGTAGTAAAGGCTGGAGCGATATAAACGGATGTCAACCTTTTCGTGTCGAGTCCGCCAATTGCGTAGGGACGGCGGGAATTTTAGCGCGACGTTCTTTGACAATTCGATAAGGAGTGACTTCAGTTTGAGCACTCACGCAGAAATCTCAGAGGAGCTGGACTCTAATGAACAAGGACGTCAGGAAACGACAGGGCAAGTTACCTCTCTCTTCATAGGAGATATTAACACACGCTGGTGGACGCTGATTGAGACGACAAGTACATAGCGACATGTTAAAAGGACCCAGCTTTCAACTACCTAGGTACAGCCTCTGTGTTTCCAGTTTTACGTCCCGTATCACCGTTAGACATTCAATCCAGGGTATCACCTACATGTGCTTGACGAGACGCATAGGCATCACGTTCTTGAGTGGTCTAGAACAAAGGCTCTGTTGATCCTTCTAAGAAAACAAAAAAAGGCAAATAACAAAGCAAGTAATCCATATTAATATTTACCTTGATATTTCTTTGGTCAACATTTAATTAGCCCATTAGTATCGTGATGGTCTATTTTGTCGTTTGTATATATATATATATATATATATACATATACACATATATATATATATATATATATGTAATAGTTTCGTGCATTGATGTTAACTACTCAGTTTGTCGTTCACATACATTTCTAGTTTTGCTGGTACAATTCAACAAGTAACAAAATACATCCATTGGTCAATGGCAAAACCTGAAGAGGAGCTACACTTGCCATATAACCCGGCATCCGAAGATTCATACATGCGGATTCTGCACTGGCAAGGGGCCTTACAACTCATCATTGCCAGTAAAGCTTGCGTATACTATAATGTCTTCATTACGATGAATCACGCTCATTGTCATACATTTATGCGTCTCTATTTATATATGTATATGTACTTAAATTTAGATTCTATTTCGTGTTCTGTTTTGCATAACTATATGTAAATAAAAACAGATATTTGCACATGTGCTATTTATCTAATATAATTACCATCCGTCGCGATTTAGGACCTATAACATCCACTCACTGGTTATTCTCCAAAAAATCTGTTCTTAATCCTCAAATAATTCCTAATAATAACCGTGCTTCAAATGATATTGGTTGTTATAAACTCGCAGAAGGGTTGGTGGAATAGTCTACGTAAAAAAGTTCCAGCAAGATCAATTTTGGGCTGGCAGCAGGTTAAAGGTTCTAAAAATGCACGGCC